ATCCCTGGGGACAGCGCTGCCTGTGACACGTGGGTCACCCCTCAGGCTCCCAGGGGACAGTGCTGCCTGTGACACATGGGTCACCCCTCAGATCCCTGGGGGACAGCGCTGCCTGTGACACCAGGGTCGCTCCTCAGATCCCTGGGGAACAGGGCTGCCTGTGACACCAGGGTCACTCCTCAGATTCCTGGGGGACAGTGCTGCCTGTGACACCAGGGTCGCTCCTCAGATCCCTGGGGGACAGTGCTGCCTGTGACACTGGGGTCACCCCTCAGGCTCCCGGGGGTCAGCGCTGCCTGTGACACCAGAGTCGCCCCTCAGATCCCTGGGGGACAGTGCTGCCTGTGACACCGGGGTCGTCCCTCAGATCCCTGGGGACAGTGCTGCCTGTGACACCGGGGTTGCCCCTCAGATCCCTGGAGGACAATGCTGCCTGTGACACCGGGGTCTCCCCTCAGGCCCCCGGGGGACAGCGCTGCCTATGACACCGGGGTCGCCCCTCAGATCCCTGGGGACAGCGCTGCCTGTGACACGTGGGTCACCCCTCAGGCTCCCAGGGGACAGTGCTGCCTGTGACACATGGGTCACCCCTCAGATCCCTGGGGGACAGTGCTGCCTGTGACACCAGGGTCGCTCCTCAGATCCCTGGGGGACAGTGCTGCCTGTGACACCGGGGTCACTCCTCAGATTCCTGGGGGACAGTGCTGCCTGTGACACTGGGGTTACCCCTCAGGCTCCCGGGGGTCAGCGCTGCCTGTGACACCGGAGTCGCTCCTCAGATCCCTGGGGAACAGGGCTGCCTGTGACACCGGGGTCACTCCTCAGATTCCTGGGGGACAGTGCTGCCTGTGACACCAGGGTCACCCCTCAGATCCCTGGGGGACAGCGCTGCCTGTGACACCAGGGTCGCTCCTCAGATCCCTGGGGAACAGGGCTGCCTGTGACACCGGGGTCACTCCTCAGATTCCTGGGGGACAGTGCTGCCTGTGACACCAGGGTCGCTCCTCAGATCCCTGGGGGACAGTGCTGCCTGTGACACTGGGGTCACCCCTCAGGCTCCCGGGGGTCAGCGCTGCCTGTGACACCAGAGTCGCCCCTCAGATCCCTGGGGGACAGTGCTGCCTGTGACACCGGGGTCGTCCCTCAGATCCCTGGGGACAGTGCTGCCTGTGACACCGGGGTTGCCCCTCAGATCCCTGGAGGACAATGCTGCCTGTGACACCGGGGTCTCCCCTCAGGCCCCCGGGGGACAGCGCTGCCTATGACACCGGGGTCGCCCCTCAGATCCCTGGGGACAGCGCTGCCTGTGACACGTGGGTCACCCCTCAGGCTCCCAGGGGACAGTGCTGCCTGTGACACATGGGTCACCCCTCAGATCCCTGGGGGACAGCGCTGCCTGTGACACCAGGGTCGCTCCTCAGATCCCTGGGGAACAGGGCTGCCTGTGACACCGGGGTCACTCCTCAGATTCCTGGGGGACAGTGCTGCCTGTGACACCAGGGTCGCTCCTCAGATCCCTGGGGGACAGTGCTGCCTGTGACACTGGGGTCACCCCTCAGGCTCCCGGGGGTCAGCGCTGCCTGTGACACCAGAGTCGCCCCTCAGATCCCTGGGGGACAGTGCTGCCTGTGACACCGGGGTCGTCCCTCAGATCCCTGGGGACAGTGCTGCCTGTGACACCGGGGTTGCCCCTCAGATCCCTGGAGGACAATGCTGCCTGTGACACCGGGGTCTCCCCTCAGGCCCCCGGGGGACAGCGCTGCCTATGACACCGGGGTCGCCCCTCAGATCCCTGGGGACAGCGCTGCCTGTGACACGTGGGTCACCCCTCAGGCTCCCAGGGGACAGTGCTGCCTGTGACACATGGGTCACCCCTCAGATCCCTGGGGGACAGCGCTGCCTGTGACACCAGGGTCGCTCCTCAGATCCCTGGGGAACAGGGCTGCCTGTGACACCGGGGTCACTCCTCAGATTCCTGGGGGACAGTGCTGCCTGTGACACCAGGGTCGCTCCTCAGATCCCTGGGGGACAGTGCTGCCTGTGACACTGGGGTCACCCCTCAGGCTCCCGGGGGTCAGCGCTGCCTGTGACACCAGAGTTGCCCCTCAGATCCCTGGGGGACAGTGCTGCCTGTGACACCAGGGTCGTCCCTCAGATCCCTGGGGACAGTGCTGCCTGTGACACCGGGGTCGCCCCTCAGATCCCTGGAGGACAATGCTGCCTGTGACACCGGGGTCTCCCCTCAGGCCCCCGGGGGACAGCGCTGCCTATGACACCGGGGTCGCCCCTCAGATCCCTGGGGACAGCGCTGCCTGTGACACGTGGGTCACCCCTCAGGCTCCCAGGGGACAGTGCTGCCTGTGACACATGGGTCACCCCTCAGATCCCTGGGGGACAGCGCTGCCTGTGACACCAGGGTCGCTCCTCAGATCCCTGGGGAACAGGGCTGCCTGTGACACCGGGGTCACTCCTCAGATTCCTGGGGGACAGTGCTGCCTGTGACACCAGGGTCGCTCCTCAGATCCCTGGGGGACAGTGCTGCCTGTGACACTGGGGTCACCCCTCAGGCTCCCGGGGGTCAGCGCTGCCTGTGACACCAGAGTCGCCCCTCAGATCCCTGGGGGACAGTGCTGCCTGTGACACCGGGGTCGTCCCTCAGATCCCTGGGGACAGTGCTGCCTGTGACACCGGGGTTGCCCCTCAGATCCCTGGAGGACAATGCTGCCTGTGACACCGGGGTCTCCCCTCAGGCCCCCGGGGGACAGCGCTGCCTATGACACCGGGGTCGCCCCTCAGATCCCTGGGGACAGCGCTGCCTGTGACACGTGGGTCACCCCTCAGGCTCCCAGGGGACAGTGCTGCCTGTGACACATGGGTCACCCCTCAGATCCCTGGGGGACAGCGCTGCCTGTGACACCAGGGTCGCTCCTCAGATCCCTGGGGGACAGTGCTGCCTGTGACACCGGGGTCACTCCTCAGATTCCTGGGGGACAGTGCTGCCTGTGACACTGGGGTTACCCCTCAGGCTCCCGGGGGTCAGCGCTGCCTGTGACACCGGAGTCGCCCCTCAGATCCCTGGGGACAGCGCTGCCTGTGACACGTGGGTCACCCCTCAGGCCCCCGGGGGACAGCGCTGCCTGTGACACCGGGTCACTCAGATCCCTGGGGACAGCGCTGCCTGTGACACCAGGGTCGCCCCTCAGATCCCTGGAGGACAATGCTGCCTATGACACGTGGGTCGCCCCTCAGTCTCCCAGGGGTCAGCGCTGCCTGTGACACCAGGGTCGCCTCTCAGATCCCTGGGGACAGTGCTGCCTGTGACACCAGGGTCACCCCTCAGATCCCTGGGGGACAGTGCTGTGACACCGGGGTTACCCCTTAGGCTCCTGGGGAACAGCACTGGCCTGTGACACCGGGGTCACCCCTCAGAATCCTGGGGCAGTGACCGCCCTGTGCCGGTGGGACTAGGCCGAAGGAGGCAGCCCCCTGTTCACCAATTCACACAGTTCTGTTGACAACGGAATGTCTCAAGAGGTTGGGGAATGTCAAGGCCAGAGGTATTTTAAAGAAAACGCACAATTCTGTATAGAAGGTTGGGTTGGAGCTGTTTGTACTAAGCAGCTTGTTTTAGAGCATTTATAATGGGGGCAAGGCCAAAAAAGTCCACCAAGTCAAGATACATGAAAGGGAATTATTTTAAGTTTTTTCGATGAGTCACTCCAGCGCTTGAGTGTCCGAGGATGAGGTCGGCCGCTGGAGCTGACCTGTGCTGGTGACAGTCGACACGGCAACCCCAGGTAGCACAGAGCCTCAGTGTGGACCCCAGATTCCCCGTACTGAGTGGTGCAGGGCAGGGGTACTGCTCTGGCATGGATGTTTATTTTCCCTCTGATAATGTGTTAATTCAGAATAACTATTTTAATGAAAAATTATTCAGTAAAAGTTTAAATAGTTTTAAAAAAAGAGGCAAAAAATATATGGGGTGCCGTTTTGGGGAACCCATCTTTGTTCCTGAGAACTTACCTGTAGCCTCCTCTGACTTGACTGATGAGCAGAGAACCAGCTCGGAAGCGGCTTCTGTGTTCCTCTGAGGAGCTGCCTTTGGAGACCGAGCAGAGCAGGCGGGTTCACAGGCCTGGTGCCACACTGGCCAAGAGGGCTCTGTGCCCGGGCCCTGGACAAGACGTCCACTAGGGCAAGGCAGATATTTTTAATAGTAATTCCACCTGGGGCTCCCAGTGAGAAAAATATATGAGGGTCACTTTCATAGCTCTTCCTCTCAACAAGGGGGACATTTTGGAAATGGGAAGAAGACAGTGCTGCTGCCCCGGCTCCTGGGTGAGTGACCGCGTCTACTCAGAGTGAGAGCAGGTGAACAGCTCAGAGAGCCGCCTGCCTGCCCACGGCTCGAGCGCCTCTTGCTGCCCGTCCTGGATTCCAGCTGGCCGGGAGGAAACTGTGTGTGTGTGTGGGGCGGCATTTTCCTCTGAAATAAGAGGTACCAGAGTTGGGCCTATTTTGGCAGCAGATATGGGGGTTTCAGACCCACATCACTGACGGCGGAGCACATTCAGCCCTGGAGTGGCCCTGGGGATCTGAGTGAATCCCCGAGCCCCCAGGTGTCAGCTGGGGCAGTGGAGGGCCAGTCGGGGCCCAGGGGGGTTACAGCATGTGCAGGAGCAGCCCTGAGGGTAGGGGGCTGTTTGCTGAAGGTCCCTGGAATGTCACTGACAGAGACCACCCCCTTTAAACGTGTACAGACGTGTTTGGATGAACCAGAGAGCTCTGGCAGGAAGCAGCCGTGGCGCATTGTCTTGCAGGACTCACGCAGACTGTCCCAGGGAGCATCTCGGTGTGGGCTTCCAGGGTGGGTGTGGGGCCACAGGCTGGCAGGGACCCGGCTCGTTCCTGCCCCCAACCTAGGTGGGCAACGGAGGCCTCGGCCAGCAGAGGCCCGCCAGCCCCCGACCCGAGGGACCACATGGAAGGGTCGGGGCAGGATGGGGAGGAGCAGGAAAGCCAGGGCTGGTGGCCCGCCCAGGTGCTGGGGAACAGCGTGCCCCCGTCCCTGCATGGTTCTCTGCAGGGTGGCCCACGGCACCCATCATGTGACCGGCGGTGGCTCTGGTTCTGCAGGGCTCCTGGGGGCCCTCAGGACCACTGCAGCGAAGGGGGGTGTCCCACTGCTGACTGATCCCTCGGAGGGACGGTCGGCGAAACCCCCTGCCCAGGAGGAAGTCATTTCCTCCGGAGGAGTAGGCTTGTGGCTGAAGAGCCGCGTGGGCACAGACCCTCCCCTCCCCTGGAGAAGCAGCAGCTCCGTGATGACCAGCTTCCAGCAGCTGCATGCCCGGGGAGGGGGCCAGGCGCCCAGGAAGGCCGTGGGGCCCCCGGCTGACACGCAGGCCTACAGCGTTGCTGGGCATTCTGAGGGGACAGCAGATGAGGGCTAGGGAAGGGAGGTCAGAGGTCAGGGTTGGCACACACCCCCCCAAAGGAACTGGGGGCTGTAAGCACCCCCATTACTTGGTGGGCATGTGGCCTCTACAGAGGCTACGTAAAGGCCTCCCTCTGAGGGGGCATGGCCCCCGAGGGTGACAGCAGGAGCAGGAAGGCACTGCCCTTTCCCCACAGCTCCCCAAGGCTGCCCCCCAACCCCGCTGAGCCCCACAGTGACCAGTGGGGGAAGGTCAGGGTGAGGCTGAAGGACAAGTGTGGCCTTCTGGCATTTGCTACAGGCCTGGAGCTTCTAGGATTATGGAATTTATTTTTAGTTGGCCATGGAGGGGAAACTCTGGAGACAAAAAAGGAAAGCGCAGAACAGGTTGGTGGTGCTCCTAGGGTGAAACTCTTTACTCCAAGCACAGGATGGCTTTGACTCCCGAGTCAGGCCGGTTAGGCCCGGGCCAAGTTCCGGTGTGCGCAGGTCGAGAAACATGCAGGCTGACGACAGGAGCCGTCCAGCCCCTCTGAGTGCGGAGGGGGGCGAGGACGCAGTGCCGCCCCCAGGCCCCCGACTGTCCCCGCAGGTCAGGTCGGCCCCGCCCGTGCCCACGGCCCCTCCGAGGAGGCCCCGGCTGAGCCGGCGCCATCAGGGCTCTGTGAGCCGTCGTCCTCAGTGGCGGTGGCGGAGGCGGAGCGCGTGCTGTCCTCGCGCAGGGCGGGCTCAGGGCTGGCGGCGCGCTGCTGCTGCTCCTTGAGCTCCGAGTAGGAGCGCGAGAAGGTGTGGAAGATGGAGGTGACCGGGAAGGCCATGAGCAGGATGCCGCTGAGGATGCTGCTCAGCGCCACCACCTGCCCGGGCAGGCTGCGCGGCACCATGTCGCCGTAGCCCACGGTGGTCATGGAGATGACAGCCCACCAGTAGCTGGCTGGCACGCTGGAGAAGTCGCGGCGTGCGCCCAGCTCGCGCTCGGCCAGGTGCACGAGCGGCGCGAAGAGGGCCATGGCCACGCAGAGGAAGAGCAGCAGCAGCCCGAACTCACGCGCGCAACGGCGCACGGTCAGGCCGAGCGAGCGCAGCCCGAGCGAGTGGCGCGCCAGGCGCATCACGTAGAGCACGCGCAGCGCCCGCAGCAGCCGCAGCACCAGCCCCGCGCGCTCCAGCAGCTTGTTGCCTCCCACGCCGGGCCGGGCCGCCAGGCCCACGAGTAGCGACACGTAGAAGGGCAGGATGGCCAAGATGTCGATGATGTTGAGTGGGGTCCGCAGGAAGGCGCACTTGCTCTCGGCCTGCAGCGAGCGCAGCAGGAACTCGAAGGAGAACCAGGCCACGCATACTGTCTCCAGCACAAACAGGTTGCGACACTTAGGGGAGCACTCACCCTGCAGGGAGAGGGGGACTTGTGTTGGGGGCAGGTAGGCCTATCCCTCCTGGGCTGCCCTTCCTCCAGATGTCAGCACTGCAGGGCAAGGGTTGTGCACAAAAACCCAATTACTTTTTTTTTTAACAAAGAAGTACTATGAGGTGGGCTTCCTGTGAGGGAGTGAGCAGAGCTCAGCTGATTTGTTTACAAACAAAACAAAACAAAACAAAACAAAACCACTTAAAGCTCCACAAGTAGTTCCAAGGACAACAGCAAATGAAACATTTATTCAAGAAAATCTATGGAAATTCATTTAAAAACGAGAGTCTTTGGTATTTGAACCAAGACCCCCACCCTCCACCTCTCAGAGTCCCAGATCATGGAGGAGGCTGCTCAGGGAGATACCCAAGAAAAAAATAAAATAGACTTCACTAAAATAATCCAACCAATCATTAAACACACAAGCAGAGAACAGTAACATGGCGGGGGGGGGCAATATCCAGTGTTCCTAGATATTTTATCATCTAAAATGCCCAGTTTTCAATAAAAAATCATAGGGCAGGCAAAGAAACAGTAAGGTATGACCTATACATCAGAAAAAAAAAAAAATCAGTCAACAGAAACTTCCTATGAGAATGACCAAATGTCAGATTAACAAAAAGCTTCAAAACTGCCATTATAAGTATGGTCACAGAACTAAAGAAAATTTGATTGACTGTTCATAGCATCAGATGGAGAATATCAAAAAAGAAAATTTTTAAAAGAATCAAATGGAAAATTTGAAGTTGAAGCATACAATAACAGAAAATTCACTACAAGAGCTCGGCAGTGAATGTAAACTGTCAGAAGAAAGGGTTAGAGAACTAGGAGATTGCTGGAGGCAATTACACAGGCTGAGAACAGCGAGAACCTGGGACACACGGGTTGGGCCAGCACTGTGGCATCCAGGTACCAGTGGGAGGGGGAGGAGCGAGGAGGAGAATGTTTGAGAAACAGTGGCTGCAAACTCCCCAGATCTGCTGAAAAGCAATGACCTGCACACCCAGGAGACTCACTGAGTTCTGTCAGGGAAGAGACATCACAGGAAAAATACCGAAGGCCACAGACAAGGAGAAAACCTTGGGAATAGCACAGACAGCAACGGGTCACCTGAGAGGTCACTCGAGTGAGATTAACAACCTAACCTCTCAGCAGGAAGCTGTGGATAACCGTGTTCACACTGATCAGAAAACAACCCCCTACCAGAGGCTCCTATATCCAGCAACACTGTCATCAAAGCATGAAGGTGAAATGAAGACTAGCCCAGAAGAACAAACACTGAGAGCTGCCTTACAGAACTCTAAAGGAAGGTCTTCAGGCTGAAAACCAGTGGTCCCAGACTCTTCTCAGATGTGATACCAAAAGCAGGAGCAAATAAGATATAACAGATAGATTAAACTTGCCAACAAAGGTCTGTCTGGTCAAAGCTATTGTTTTTCCAGTAGTCATGTACCTATGTCAGAGTTGGACTATAAAGAAGGCTGAGCGCCGAAGAACTGATGCTTTCAAACGGTGATGCTGGAGAAGACTCTTGAGAACCCTTGGATAGCAAGGAGATCAAACCAATCAATCCTAAAGGGAATCAACACTGACTATTAACTGGAAGGAATGATGCTGAAGCTAAAGCTCCAATATTTTGGCCACCTGATGAGAAGAGCCGACTCATTGGAAAAGACCCTGATGCTGGGAAAGATTGACAGCAGGAGGAGAAGGGGGTGACAGAGGATGAGATGGATGGATGGCATCACCAACTCAATGGACATGAACTTGAGCAAACTCTGGGAGAGAGTGAAGGACAGGGAAGCCTGGTGTGCTGCAGTCCGTGGGGTTGCAGAGTCAGACACGACTTAGCAATTGAACAAGGCTACAATGAGGTTGTGTGTGGGCCCTGGTCCAACAACAGGACTGGTGTCCTTTTGAGAAGAGGAGGTGAGGAGACATACTCACACACAGAGGCAGGACCACGTGAGGACACAGGAGAAGACAGCCGTCCACTTGCCAAGGGGAGACGTGTCAAGAGAAACCAACCTGTCAACACCGGGACCTCAGACTTCAGCCTCTGAGATTGTGAGAAAACAGGTTTCTGTTCAGTAACATGGTCAGTGATACTTAGTTACAGCAGCCCTAGCAGACTAATACAGACACTAAAACAGAGTGTCTTGGGAAGTATAAGATAAGCCCCAGAATGGGAGAATATATGTACACATCATGGCTCAGGAGGTAAAATGTCTGCCTTCAATGCGGGAGGCCTGGGTTCGATCCCTGGATGGGGAAGATTCCCTGGAGAAGGAAATGGCAACCTACTCCAGCATTCTTGCCTGGAAAACCCCATGGATGGAGAAGCCTGATGGGCTACAGTCCATGGAGTGGCAAAGAGTCAGACACGACTGAGCGACTTTACTTTCACTTTCATGTGTGACAAGGGACTTGTATCTAGAACACAGAATTCCTACATCTCAATGATAAAAAAGACAACCCAATTTTAAAAATGGGCAAGGGATCTGAACAAACCTTTCTCCAAAGAAGATACACAAGTGACTGAGAAGCACATGAAATGGGGCTCAACACCATTCATCACCAGGGAAATGTAGGGCAAACCCACCCTAAGATCCCACTTTACCCCAATCAGGACAGCTAGAGTGCAAGAGCCGACGACAAGTGCTGGAGAAACCAGGCCTCATGCGCTGCTGATGGGAGTGTGCCGCAATCTAGTCACCTTGGTAAGAGTCTGGCTGTGCCCCCAAACCTTCCTCATGGAGTGGCCACACAGCCCCATCATCCCACTCCTAGGTGCGTGCCTGGAGAAGTCAACATGCATGTGCAGACAGAAACCTGTACGGATGTTCATGGCCGAGTGAGTCACAACAGCCAAGAGCTGGACACAACCCAGATGTCCACCTGCTGACAGATGGACTAAAAATCTGGAAGCCGCACACACACTGGGCCACTACTGGGCCATGGAAGAAATGAAGCGCTGACTCCTGCTACAACATGGATGAGCCTTGAAGACAGCTCAGGGTGAAAGGGTTCAGTCATGCCAGACATGCTGGGTGGTTCTGTTCTCAGGATCCAGAACAAGGAAGTATTTAAGACACAACCTTGGTAGCTCAGGGCTGGCAGGAGAGGAAGGGGCTGAGGAATGCGTGAACCAGCTGCCAGGGTCTCCTGGGAGATGGAGATTCTCTAAAATCAGATGGTAATGGTGGCTCCAGAATTTGGGAACACTCCAGAAACAGCAGAATCATACACTCAAGAGGGGCAAACTATATGTGAATCATATAGCAGCAAAGCTATAATTATTATATATTATAATTATTAATAAATAATTATTAGGGCTTCCCTGTGGCTCAGTGGTAAAGAATCTGCATGGCAATGCAGGAGACATGGGTTCCATCCCTGGTCCAGGAAGATCCCACACGCAGTGGAGCAACGGAGCCAAATTGCTGAGCCTGCGCTCTAGAGCCCATGTGCCACAGCCACCGAAGCCTCTGTGCCTGGAGCCCTGGCTCCACGAGAGCAGCCACCTTGATGAGAAGCTCGAGCACCACAACTAGAGAAAAGCCGGCCCAGCAACCGAGACCCAGCACAGTCACCGATAAATACATAAA